TTAGGGATTTCCGTGTTCTTTTCTTTTTTCTTAGAATTCTTTTTTTGTCCAACAACACTCCCTAACAAAAGAGACCCAGCCCTTCAGCCCCGGTCCTCCGCGTGGCATCGCGTTCAGCCGGGCGGGTTCCAATGGATGCCTCAAATATTGCAAGGGAACAAGGGACCACAACATCATGCTCATCTTGTTTCCCCCTGGTGTTTTCTTTCCCCATGCTGCAGTTTCCATGCCACTATGTTCTTTTTTCTCCCCATGGTTTTTTGTGGCTTCCATTTTTTTCCATAGTTTTCCCCCTGGTTTTCCCCCTGGTTTTCCCCCTGGTTTTCCCCCTGGTTTTCCCACGGTTTTTCGTGGTGCTTTCCCATGCATTCCCATGGTTTTATCCCCCATGGTTGTGGTTGGTTTTGGACCATCACTTTTCTCCAGCAGCTGGTGTTGGTTTCCTGGGGGCTCTTGGTGAGGATGGTGCCTTTCTTCGTGGCGCGGCAGAAGGAGCTCCAGTACCTGGGCGTGGCCGGGGGTCCCACCCATGGGGGGGGGTGGATGGGGGGCGGGGTGGATGGGGGTGGGTGGGTGGGGGGCGGGGTGGATGGGGGTGGATGAGGGTGGATTGGGGAGGATGGGTGGGGGTGGATGGCGCGCCGGGTTGTTGGTGTTCTTGAAGGAAGCGGCGCCCGGAAATGGCAACGGCTGCCTTCTAGAAGCTGTTTCGCTTTTGGGCAAAAGATGTTTTGACGTTTTCTCAAGGTAGGAATTGCTTCCCCCCCCCCCCCGGCGCTAGTGGCAACGGTGTCCTACACGGGCCTGGCTTCGCCAGCTAAGCAATCGGTCAGAAGGAGAGAAAGGCGAGGGCAGGGCAAGCTGCGAGCTCATGGCTGATGCGCAAATCGACGCCTTCAGTGCGGGGACTGCCACAACGTCGCCTGCCGGGAGCTGCCTCCGTGAGGGAGCTGCCTCCGAGCCTACGTGGTGTCACTCTCGGCTTGGTCTCCCAAATCGGCAAGCTTGGTGCGCATTGGCCCTACGAAAAGGGAGCCATGCGGTGGATACAAAACTTGGGTCCAGTCCAGCCAAGCAAAAAGGGACTTCAGGGTGGAATCCACTGAACAGGGGTGAATTTCCTAAGAGTTGCGAGTATACCGCATAACATGGTTGTTTGCAGGGGCATCCTTTATTTCCTGGTGGCATGTTTCTGTTCTTTTCTCTTCTTCTTTTTTTTTCTTCTCTTTTTGCGGGGAGTCTCCCCACACCCAAATGTTCAAGGCCACCGACCAGTCTTGGGAACCCTTCTGCTTTTGGAAAGTCCCATCTGCACAATCACTATGACCCAGCAATCTGAATCAATGGATCCCGAAGGGTGGTTTCCCTTTACCGAGAGGGGGTCCATTTGGAGAATTCCTTGAAAGAATCAATGCTGCAACCTTAGATGGGTGCTTGAAAGTCCAAGCTGATAAAGATGCTGCGGGTCCCGCATTTCCTCACCCTGGCTTCTTCTGGTTGGCAGCTTGGATTGACGGAACAAGGTTTTCTTTTTGTTTTTGAAACCAAGTCGTAAGTCACATTGGGTTGGCGACCAAGAAAACCACAAGGAGCGCATGCCGCCAGGCGGCCCCCCAACTTGACGAGTAGCCAAGGAAGCGTGACACGAAGCTCAAAATGGTCCCCCTTCCAAAAAAGAGATAAATTTTGGTGTCCCTTTCAAAGCATCAACAAGAGGGGTACCATTACAGGATCATCCGCCTTGGTCGAAATGAGCATGGACAATGGGACCCCAACGTCCCTGCCCTGGAAGAAACGGGCAAAGACGTAGAGGAGGTAACACCATTTGAGAGGGTTCTGGACAGGTTCCCCACAAGCGGTTGGTTTGCCTGGCTGCACAAGGCTGTCGAATGGGGTCAGCAAATTCGGGGACCCTTCCCCCTCATTTCCCTGCGCCAAAAGGGCGCAAGCTAACCAGCAAAAGGAGCTATATACACCCGTTTTTGGGGGGCAACGTGCCCCCCACGATCACGATCCGAACGCCAGCTGTGGGCCGTGGCGAGCCAGGACGTGGTGTCCGAGGTGATCGAGCGCAACAAGCAGCGGCATCCGGGGGTTCAGTTCCTGGCGCAGGAACTGCAGAGCTGGGTGAAAGGCGATTTTTGCTGCAGCACACCTGCACAAGTAAGAAGGCCACTTGGATCGTCTCTTGTTTGTGTTGGTGTTTTGCAGGGTACCCTGTTTGGGATGAATTTTGAAGGCAAGGGTTCGCTCATTTGGAGACAGGCCCGTGTTGCAGCACCAAAGCCTGAAAGACCAATCCTGAAGGCTGCGGTTGCGTAGCTGCTGGGTCAAAACCAATGGTACCATTTTGGTTGGTAGGTCCACCACCCATTTTAGAACCTATTTTAGTGGTTGGATTGGGATGTTCACTGGGGGCTAACCGGGATTTTGACCCACAGCCACGTGTCCCAGGGGGGAGGATGAGTTTTGGCGGCGCCAAAGGGCCGATGCGCGGGGA